CATTCGTCGAGTCAGTTGGCTCGTCTAGCTCTCATTACGCGACGCCACTTCAACACAAAGCATAGTGTTGAAGGCCTTATGGGGCAGCAGGGACATCAGCTGATTATACCAGTTCTGCGTGCTCTGCGGCAATTAGGAGAAATGCTCCATTCTCTCAGAGGATCAGTCGTAACAACTCAGGCGTAGATGGACTAAGAGTGCAACCAATTGCAGTGGGGCTGCCGTTGCTCATTGCTTTGAGAAAACTAAGCTAAGTCACCGTCCATACTTTCTATACCGAACCCGTAGGACGGTATCGCAATCCGCTACCTTCAAGGGTACCAAAAGGCAAATATACTCTTTCGTTCAAAATTAAAGCTGTATTTATCCGTGTATTTGAGACAGAGCCGCAAATATCTAAAACCTTATATTTCCCTAATTAAATAGTCAAACCTAATTAATATGCATAACTACTGGCATTCCCGCCTCGTGCTGGCTTCTTGTTACAGTGTAGCAGCACCATTGTGTGAATACACCGACTTGTGCCAGGGTACGCGTAACTCCGTTTCAAAAGATCTCAAACGAATGAGAAGCATCGTAATTTTGAGAATGCAATGTTTTACCGTTATGTGATTGGATCTTTGCTGTATAATTTCAATGCTACACGACCAGACATCAGTGTTCCAGCGTGATTCCTCTCACAGTAAATTGTCCAGACTTGGGAGATGCATCGGCACGCTGCGATCCGTGCCCTTCAGTACCTGAAGGGAACAGCAGCGATCAGCATAAGCTTATGAGAAAGACACAAAGGATAGCGACGTACAGTGACACAAACTGGGGTGCTAGCAAGACATCGTTCTACGTCTGGTGTCTAAGTCAAGCTCAACTGTAGTCTAGCAATTTTCAAGAGCAAGCGATAACAAACGGTCCCATTGTTATCGGCAGAAGCTGAGTACGTCTTATTGGCGCCGACGACTCGAAACGTTGTGTAGCTTTGCTTCCTGCTTGGTGAATTTGGCAAAAGTTAGCATAACCGCCTCATGATCCAGGTTGACAAAAAGTCGGCAATTAGCTTTAAAATAAATTATGACCACACTGCGGACGCTAAATCACATCGACTTCATAGCACACTTTATCCTTTATCGCGTGGATAACAACATCATCAGAATGAGTTGCGAACCGTTTGAGGATCAACTGGTCGACATCATGTCGAAATTCTTACCGGCATCGCGATTTTCTAAGTAACGCGAGTTCTCGAAACGAATTGTCAAGTTAAGCGGAACTGTGGAGAGTATACCACTGTTGGTGTTTTTTTACTGTGACGTCAGCATTAGTCTACTAGACACCCCAAAACGTTTGTCGTATTCTGGATTAATGAAGTCTGACAGCAGCTTGAACAAATTGCTGCTCATTCGGCTTCGTGACTACTTTTGAAGCATTTTCTGAACGGTAGATTGCATCATGTATGGCTGAGAAAGAGAGTCTTGACTCTCTTGCGTGTCAGACTGAAAATCTAGTTTCCATTGGTATTTGTCTATTAATTAACTCATTTTCTAGCGACTTTGCTCGTTTAAAGTGACTCAACAGATTGCTTCTGCAAGTGTGCTAACTCCAACGTCCATCTGTGTGTTCTTAAAAAGGATTCAGGTGGTTTCCATGTTCATTTTCCGGTCGTTTGACTTGCAACATGCTTGTTAAGATAAAGCTCCTAAAAAAAAATATTTTTTTCATTTAAAGGCATGAATGTTTAAAAGTCTGCTCAGGTAACTTATCATCGAAGTGTCAATAATTTTTACATTTATTTATCCCAAACTCAGTTCAACAACTTAAAGGATTTCTAGGTGAATTGTCGAATTCGGAGTCGCGATGTTTAACACCAAAGCGATGCTACCACAGTTTATCTACTCTTGATGCCCGTCGTTACTGACTGAAGGATTTATCTTCGATGGCGAGAAACGCATCATCAAAGGCGAGACTTCGGAATTTATGATGCAAACACATCGACAGTAAATACCATGAACATCATTTTTGTGAAAGATTGCGGCACATTAATCCAACGCCTAACTCTCACTATCTCTCACTGGCATTCTCGCATGCATGTCTGTCTGTCTGTCTGCCTGTCCGTCTGTCTGTCTCTGTCGGTCTGTCTCTCTCAGCTTGTTATTTTTGTACTCCAATTTGGCACTTATTATTTCCGATTTGACTCCGCGAAGCTTCTGTTTATACGTTCTACGATCAAGATCTTGGTTTTTTAATTTTTCAAGGTGACCAAGTTCCAGCGTTTGGTATTCTATGTCTTCCTCATGGCCATCAAGTTGATTTTTAAGCGATTTTAGTTTTTCGTCGATGTCGGATAGTTTTTCTTCAAGCTTATCTAAATTCTGCTTGATAAACTCCTCAGCAACGGCGGATGGTTTCTTTTTCATCCTTAACTGATAGACATTTATTATGTCTATCGTTCGAGTTCTTTCTATCCGATTGATTGTGATTTGGTCATTCAGAGAACTCACCACTTTTTCTTTTCGCTCAATGGCCTTTTGCAGCGAAGCCACCTTCTTCTGCAAGCCCTGTTTTGGATCTACCAGGGCCTTGATAGGCGAGAAAATATTCGGCAGTACAAATCTCTCTTCGTCTGTAGGGAAGCGGACTTTTGAGTTCTGTACCGTTAAGACGTTATCACTCTTTTGTTCCCGTGGTTGATCGGTCGTGTATGCATCTTCAAGGCTTGATAGCAGCAAGGCAGCAGTCAACAAACAACTTTTGTACAACTTCATCTTCCCAATTGGTAGGTCACTTTCAAACGAGTAATGAGCTCTCAAAATGTTTCAATGCATTGTTCCTACACTAGCCAGACTGGGAGTAGGTTTAGATATCCCTATAAGAGATTGTTATGCATAGGTAAACTGGATATCTTGAAGATTTTTCTGATGATTGATACTGACACGTTAATCAAGTACGAACAAATCGGTTTGAGCTGACCAAAATAAATTTATCACTCTTTCTAAAGCTTTGGCAACTAGCATTTTTTCCATTGATGAGTAAGAGAATTATCTACTGCATATAAAAATCAATATCTACAACTCTCTGGATAAACTTCTAGACTTGAATGTAGTGAGTTTCGTAGGTTGAGAGATTTGTGGACAGAATCAAAACAATATTCTGACATCCTACGAAATAGCATCTTCAAGTATTTATGTATATCAAGATAATTATCTGGCCTAAGCTATGATAGACTGTTTGCTTTGCTTATTACCAGGTATATCAAATATTCGTCTAATTGATTTTCAGTTTTTATCTCTTACCAAATATGTTGCAATCTACTTTATTATATAAGTATTTCTATACTCAATTCTGACTATGCACAAAATCTCCCATCCTCATTAATCCACTATATAAAAGAGGTATCAAAGTTTGAAGTTCAAATGAACGCTAGCCCTAAACTTTTGTACTCCGAATAGTGAAATATAGTCTCGAATCTGCTAAACAAAAATTCAGCTGCCAGAGTTTAAAATATTTAGCCATACATGTAGATTTCATTCATATGCTTATAGAGCCACGACACATTTGGTATTGGACATGTCCATTGTATATGACGCAACCCACTCGGTAGAGAGTCAAGCGAATCGGAATGCACAAAATAAAAAAGGCATCTTGAAGATTTGTACAGTATAAATTTTTGTACTGTGAAATATATGGTCCCGAATTTTCGAAAAAAATGTCAGCTGCCAGAGAGTAATATACAAAGCCATACATTTGTTTTTTGCTGTGTGCAATCTATATTAGGCAGTATTATTACTAATGCAGTACTTTCTTCAGGGCAAGTCGGTATCTTAATTTTGGCTGGTCGCAGTATAGTGGGATAGGATATTTTTCTGAACTGGATGTTTATAATTACATAAGCAAATATTTCGGATAAGTGCTGGATTAGAGATCTCCAGAAGCGCGACACAAAACATGTGAGCTTACGACGTCCAATTATAGTTGCATTGACGAAGCAACTAGACCTACAAGTGATAATACACGGAACGCAGACGTGAAGCCTTCAAGATCGTGTTGTGATTGATTTGCATGTGGCGAAGAGAACTGTGCAGTAACAGTCCGAATGATCTAAGTGTAATGCTTAACAATCACTTTGAAGAACGTGAATTGGAGGATCGCTCGAAGCCTCCTTTAGCTTCTGTGGATACCGAAGGTCAGGTCAAAGGACGTTCAAACTAAAGTTTCGTGTACTAGAAGTAAGTACAAAGTAATTTACTGTTTCCAATATAACGATATGAATAGTAGCCGAAAAGCAGAGTGGGGTATGCAGTTAATAACGTTGCTTGCAAAAGAAGTCATCACAGATTTGACTAGGTCCAAGCCCGTACATCATGGTACATCGCTGTCTGTCTGTCGTCCGAATTAAAAGCTACCGCGTCGTGCGAAGACTGACCGTGCCGTGCAACAAAGATGTGGTAGTTTCTACCTCGCCATATACTGCGTCAAACATGTCCTGGACCGATTGGCGTACTTCATTTCAGCTACAATTATCTCTCGAGATATTCCGACCGTCAGTACATCCGATGTTATACACAAACGCACAAAGGATGTTTTGATGCCCTTCATCACAGAATGGAGCCGAGAGCTTCTCAGGTATTTAGGTACATTTTGCGAAAAAAATGGGTAATACACTCACTTGTTTCTAAACTGCCAAAATAGACTTCAACGACAGGCACTTCTACTAGATCCACATGTCAGAGATTTGAGCCAGAATAATGTACGTGTGTTGCGTGGTAATGGCTATCTAGTTTCCATTCGCACACACAAAATATGACGCAGACCAATACTGCAGGGTGTGCTGTAACAGATAGTACGGCATACGAATTTGCTCCGTGAGAACCTGCTGAGTTTCCTCCTCCACGATAAAAAATTCTCCGAAACGGTTCAGGCGATCAAATATCGGTGCATCTTCAAGTCGACTTATACGGACGAACAAAAGCCCGTAATACTAAGCTCGCGATTGGGCTCTTCCAAAAACACTCGTTTTACTGGGAAGCACTTAATGGTAGCGCTTATCGTCAATAACACGGCCAAGTTGCGAGATGGCTGCATTCTCGATGAAGATAGAGCACGAATTAGTAGAGTACAGGTCTCATGAAGAACTTGTCACGGCTAGAAAGATTATGTATATCGCTAGTTTTATGGATGGCATGGAACCAGCAGCCAAAACGCCAGACATGGTAATCGCCTTCCAGACAGCGTCCACTAGCTATAAGAATGCGAGGGTTGCTCACCATCAATGGAGCCTCGACTGGAAAGTAGTGGGAGCCCAGAGGCCACCTACTGTGAAAACGCTGTTGCTGAGCATACAGCCCTTCGAGAGCGTAACAGGAGATCGTTTTCTTCTGGAAAACTAAAGGTCAAATGGTCACATAATCTGCTGTAGACAAAGCAACAACGCGTCGTGCTATTGGTCTTTAAGGCAGAAAGAGGGTCACCCGCTAGATTGGGCATTGACGTGGAAAGAAACATTTCTACCCTAGGTAATTGAAACGAAATTGTCTGCATTGGTCAGCGCAGACTTGATTTTGCTTTAAGTTCTTGTGCATTCGTCAACTTGGTCGGGAACTGATGGACTGTGTCCAGAAGCTAATTAATCATTTTTCTACAATGATGTCATACACTTTGACGCAGGAGTTAACAATTACCATGTTCTGTTGCACTTCGTTCAGTAGCCACTGACATTGTTGATTTATATGAGAGACTGACACCCCCATTACTTCGAACAGTATGCTGTGAGAATAGATGATATAGCCACAGAGACGGTCAAACAAAAATGCGTAATTTAAATCCGACCCAACCAATGTATAAGTAGGATTTTTGGCATATCCAGCCAAAGTCAATTAATTCGACCTAAAATATAACGACTATCTTCATTCGTTCCATTACACACTTGTCGTCAGCATTCTTTCATCTTGAAAGCGGCAACAACCGGCATCTCTCCTTTATGAATTCTTTCCGTTGGGCAAATCGCCATGCACTCCAGCGATTCATTCAGTTTCATGTGTCCAGTTCTAGGAACCACTTGACCTATCGACACACTTCCTGAGTGACTTCACGCGGCCACTCCATACAACGCCGTATCTTCCCGAGCCTGAGGAAAATAAGTGGCAAGACTTATGCCTATGAAGTGTGGATCATTTTCAGTAGCATCCGACTGCCGAGTGCTTGAGCGCTTATTCTGGTGCATAGTGCATCTAGGCTAATTACTCCCGATCGGTTTCAATCGCCAATCAAGCCATAGCTCGTGATTCACAAGCCACAATATACCTAAAATCAGGTCATTCCATTCGTCCATCTCACGGACTATCAATACTTACTTCAAATTGAAGTCTTCAAACTTCAGATGAAGACGAACCATAATTTTTCGCGGCAACCATCGCATCAGTGGCCAAAAGCCATTGCTCAAATCTAGTGCATTCGAAAGCACGAAATCGCGTTAAGCAACACATTACTTCTGCGCGACGCGCCGGAGTCAATCATGACCTAAACGAACCGTTAGCCATCACACTCGCTGTGACCACGAGGAGACTACTCCAACTTGTTAGCGAAGGACAACGAACCTTACAAAGCTAAACCTCATGCGTGTTTCTACCACCACACTCACAAAAGCTAATAACTGCCCTTGTAAACCGCCCTGCATCTACTGTGTTCCGGCGTTTCCCGAACGCCTCGTGCTATTGGTACCACGTAACTCTGGATCATAAGGACGAAAAACGTATCAAGAGGTATCAAGAGGTTCGTCCCTCACAAGTAGATGTGACCGAATTGTTGATATCCGCAAAAGCAAGCATATTGCTTACGGACAGTCACCGCCCTAAGATCCATTGGCTCCAGAATTCAGGTAGCAGCAACACTGCATTCATCGGGTTAATAGATTGACCACATATTTGACGCCGACAGTAGTCCTAGTGCAATGCAATCATGATTGCATTTTCCAGATTCGTCGGGCTCCGGCGGAATACTTCAGCCTTAGGAGGACCAAAGAAAGCCTGCAGCAGGGCTGCCGTAGCTTTTTGCTTAGATAGAAGATAAGCTTAGGTCACCGATCTTATGTCTATATCAGAACCGATACGAGTGTAGCGGATCGCAATCCGCTATTTGCAAGAGTACATAAAAACCTTAACCAAGGCAAAGGCGTACTTCCGTTCAAAAATGAAACTATAAAATGTTACTTGCGGCAGGGTCATCTGTATATAAATCCTAAGGTTTTTCTAATTGGATAGTTAAACCTGATTTAAATGCAAATTTACTGGCAATCCCGCCAAGTAGCGGCTTCTTGATACGGTGTAGCCACACCATTGTGTGATTACACTGACTTGTTTAATCCGCACCATTGTACGGTCGCACCATATTGTTTGACCCACCCCTTTATACCAGGGTACGTGTAACCCCATTACACTCTCCCCCATCAAAATCGTGAGTATCCACAATTCACGTTTAAGTGTCGCCTCGTACGAGGGTCGCGTGTCTGAGACACCTTTATGCCATTAAAACAATCTATGCTTAATGATCTCTTTGTCTACGACACGGAAAATACCCAGTCTAGCTGTTTCTCTGGGCCCCGCAAACAGAGTTCTTCTTCATCTCTTGTACACAGGCAACTCCAGACAATATGTCTGCGGCTCCACGGAAAGCAGGACACCGTGAATATTCTCGATCTATCAACTCCTGGGAAAAGTGCTTTTATTACCAATCGCCTTGACGAGACACAAGAGCAGCATTTGGACTCTGCCCGCAGGGCGGCTCTCATGCGTTCGTATCCACGTTTGGTCCTAACCATAGTGTGAAATACGGTCTTCGCTCGGCGGATCCCGCTACTGATGCGAAAGACGCGATCACTTGATCGTTAGATGTTTACGTAGTCGGGCCCCTAGCCACTACACAAGCTAAGCTTGACCAACGAAAAGTTCTCCGAGCTCGCTGCTCAGTACGTCAAGAGATCCTAATGGATAGGCACCGCACTAAACTTCAAGCTCAAAGAGGAGGCACTCCTGTACCCACAACGTGGACTATTCCTGCAATGCTTGTCCCTGGCGAAGCCGCTGCAGATAATGAGGGCCATTTTGAGCAATGGGTGCAGACGGCGGAGAGAAATTTCCTCGCTGCCTAACTAATTGAACGAAAAGGAAGTGGTTGTGCGCGTAGAACGCCATCATCGATTTGATTTTGCCAAACTCAAGGCGCAACGCCAATTTCCTACCTGTTGTCGCCGTGCGACACATAGAATAATCCATCACGCTCCCGTGAGCTCTTTGGCTTCTCACATGGGTGAGTCTACGACCACATCAGCTCAGGTCCAAAGCTTGAGCTCAGTTCATGGCCCTCCGACTTCCTGGGCACCGCCGAGAAGGGTGGAGTGCACAACGCGGAGCGTCATAATCTGTCTGATCATTAGCGTCCCTGACGCCCCCCAGTCGGCGACGTTGACCCACAAGGCGAAGGCGTTCCACATGACAGCGGACGCCACCACTCTCATCGGGAAGAGTTTACGGCGGACGATGACTACTTGGTCGATCCCCATCTTGTGACTCGCGACGCTCTTCGAGCTCTGGAGGGCAAAGTCCATCGTCATCGACACCCCGTCGAGCATCTTGCCGAGGGCGCATTCCGCTTTACAGAAGGCTTCGAGATCTTAAAGCCCTTTGCGTGCCGACTGCCTCACGTTGAGGACTACCGCATATTCCTAGTCGTCGAGTAGACGAATGCGTCACTTCGTGCGACGGTGGAGCGCCTGGCGCCGCGTGGTTTAGCTCCTGAGTGGCCGAGCGCCTTTGGGCGCCGCCTCGGCGCCAACACTTATGCTCACTTGCGCCGGATCTTGGTACAACTTAAGCAAGCCCACATAAACAAAACCGGGGAGGTGCGCATCCTTCTCGAAAAGATTAGCGTCTACACTTGGCCACGATCTGAAAAGGTCCAATGAACTGTGAACGGAGCTTTATCTTGAAGACAGCAGAGACTGCATGTGTAAAAACGTTTTTTTATTTGATAAAACTAGGTTTCCGACATCCATGTTTTCAACAATTCCTCTGTTTCTTTCATATGCATATTTGCTCTGCATGTCCTGGCTTTCTGCCATCGCATCGAGAACGCGTTGTAGAACACTCAGTCTAGTAAACAATAAGTCATTGACTTTTTATACGGACAGTGAGGGGGCTGATATCAGCTAGCATTCGGTTCCCCCCACCAAGGATGGCGGCGTCAGCGGGGCGCGACGAATAGAACTGCGTATAGTTGGTCGATGAGCGCACTGCCTTCTTCTGAACAAACTCGACGAGTGGTAGCATAGCACTCCAGCGCTTCGGCGTTTCGGCGCAGACGCTGCGAAAACGGTCTTCAACGACTTGATTCACGCGCTCAACCTGACCATCGGTCTGCGGATGATCCGCTGTTGACATTGTCAACTTGGTGCCCAGCCCACTAAAAATTGTAGACCAGAACGTTCGGTGTAGCGTGGATCTGTATCAGAGACAATTGACTGCGGGAGACTACGTAGTCAAAAGATACGATCCACAAACAGCGTCGCTGTGCCCACACCGTCGATGGTGTTCGGCACTACCATAAGATGAGCCAACTTGCTCAAACGATCCGCAAAGACCACCACGCCCGTGTTGCCCACCGATTTCTTCGGCAGGCTAAACACAAAGTCCATACTCGTGGACTGCCAACACCCGGAAAGTACCGGTAAACTGACCAGCGGCGCCGCCGCACTTTGAGAGGGTTTATCCTTTGACACGTCTCACACGTGCGCACATATGTGCTCGTCCATTTGTACAGCTTGGGCTACCAGTAGATCCACCGAAGAGCCGAGTCTCAGTGTATATAAATAATTATCTCGATTTTGAATCATTTATGTTGTATAAATATAGAGCTAGCTCGATTTTTAGCTGATACTAGATATGTGTATTTACTAAGTTAAGTAATAAAAGCGCTGTATTGTTTAATATCAGACGATTGTCCATTCATCCTGTGGAAGTCTCCATACGAAAATCCACCGACTTCATTACTACCAACACTGACTTTCGTACAATTATGCAGGTGTAATGTGTATATAATGATGGACACTATAATAGTATGCCTAATCGCCTGTAAATCAACTGCGATCTTCAAGCACATTCGATCGAGAAGATTTGGTCAAACTTCATTGTGACTTATGGACTCATCGGTACCGTTATTGATGCTCAAATGATGTTTCACGGTATTATAGCACGTCTGAAAGCGCAACGGGGCAGGTGACATGATATGCACTAAAGAGGTTATTCGTGACTGAACAGATACGATGTCGTGACACCAAACCAGAACGCTTACTTATCACGTAGAATAGGCTGTTCATTAGTCAAGTAAAAGATTATGGTACATGTAGGCTTACAAACACCAATTTCGACAATATATCGATATCCCAGTTAATTTGCCTTAGACTATGTCTGCTAGTACAAACGAATACGAAATACAATGAATGGAATGCACGAAGCTTTGACTATTACATTTGCGTTAGCTGATGGACAGAGGATGGGCTCACCAACAATTCTTTACTTACCAGGTCTTGAGTACTCAAAACAGTTTGCTTAATTTAAAAGTGAACATATATTTTCAAGCGAGCTAAAAAATGGTACTAAATATTATCATTTCAATAATAAGACATTAAACGTGAGACTAGCGGTCCAAAAAAAACCTTCCTCACGGAGTTTGATCGCACTAATTACTATGATATTTTAATCAGGAGCATCGGATGCTAAAGGATATAAGAAATGGAAGAGGTAGAAGTGATGTGTGCTTGTGTGTGCAAATGCAGAAATAAGTGTATTAATGTTAGACGCAATTGTGTGGGCCCACGCACAACTGCCTTGCGGGCCACACAATATATTGAACCTATG